GATGGGCGATTTTTATCAGATGACAAACTCTTAATGCACTTATGAAATCGAGCACCAATCGAAAGCATTCTCTGTAATTAAATACATTAATGCGATGCTGTGACAAGTTGATATGATGAAATAATTTTCACGAGATACAATTTAATTTCACTCACCTGATACCATTTGAGCCAGTATTTTTGCCCGTTCCACAATTTCAACCAGACTGAATTCAACGAAAATATTATTTCTAAATTTATGGATCGATTTTTGGGGAACAAAAGCCACTTGCTGCTGAAGCCAGTCAATTTAAAATCAAATTAATGAGCACAATGGAATATTATTATTTATTTGTTCGAAAAACTATGCAACTTTGTCTAACGATTTTTCGGCATCAAGATTGTGAAAAGACCGTAAATTTTCGGCTCCACGTAAGAACAAAACGACGACGGTGCTGGTAGCGAAATGAATTGTTTTAGTAGAACAAGTGACATTTTGCGTGTAATTACTTTGCGGCGCAATTATTTCTTTATGCATTAATTGTTGAGCGGTGGTTTTGTTTTCCTTTTTCTGGCAATGATAACAAATGATTACATTTCGACTGAGAGAGCCGCAGACATGAAGAATGAGCTTTTAACTCATTGGAGCAGTAATTTGTTTGTTGATAAAATACGTAGAAAAAAGAGAAACAAAATGTACCGTTTACTGGCTTAAGCAACGCAATTACACGAAGAATAAGCATGCACAGTTCCAAAGTATTAGGAGTCATAAAAATGATGTAGCACTTTACTTGTGTGTATACGCGTTTAAAATGTGCTCTGGTAAATTAAACTAAAACTCTGCACCGAGTATCCATTCAACGCACATGTCGTTTCAGTGAGTGCATCAAACCATGATCGCTCTTTGTTCTCTCTGTTTCATTGCAGAGAATGAGCGAGAGAATGCTCATTTCGCTGGCATCCAGGTTTTTTGTGGCAAAATCAATGCATGGCGATGGGGAAAAAACTATGCGAAAATATTGTTATTGTTTGTGTTTGTGGATGCAGGAGCGCGGGCGTGCATGTATCATTTCACAAGCAAACATTGCAACAAAAATAGTAACTGTAACATGGTCATGTTGACGTTTTATTGTTTTTACCATGTAAAATTCACGATGGAAATAGGCATAACAACATTGATATTGAAATGTTGTATTTGCGTTTTTTTTTCCTCATTCTATCTCGTTGCACAAAACAAATACACGAATGATGAACGAACGCAAATAATGAATAAAAGGGAAAAACATACGAATGACAAGCGCTCCGACGACGCAGGATGAAAATTAAAAGCAGCTATCAACATGATTTTGAACATGGAAAACAATAATGTCAATCAATTCATCGGGTGGCGGTGAATGAAGTTGATTTTCCGGATAAAATTGCAAATAACAACAAAAAACACATACAGAAATACATATAAAAAACTGTATGAATGCAAAATTGTCATGAATCGCATGAAAATAGATGCACATAAATGGATATATGCAGTCGTAACTCCTTTGACAATGATTATAGCTTATAACGATGCATTTCCAACATATTTTATAATGAGAGCTTCTGTACAGAAGAAAAACCAACCCTTTTCAACATGACAAGAAAAAAAAAACACAGATTAAAAAAATGCGTTTTATAACATAAATGAAAAAAAAAACGAATGAAAAAATTCACCAAATTACAACTCATCAGCTATGTAAATACTCCGTGGAAATTGTTTTTTTTTTTTTTAATTTTAAACCTGAATCTGCCGAAATGAAACGAATGGGTGGAATAAGTTCAGGCCAAAGAGATAAAATCAACATTAACTTTGATTGGAATACGTGACAGAGCATGAGTGTGGCATGCACAAATAAATGGCATTGGTAAAATACTGCGCGTCCGCATAATGGGAGCTAGACGGAAAGATGAGAAGAGAAAAAAGCAGCACGCATTGCGCTCAAACACAAAGAATCATTGAATATTTCTATATGAACACGTTTCGGGTGGAAACACATTAGGCGGCTTTTAAATTAACGACCATATAAAATTCGTTAAGTGCTTGTGCAGTTCCGTATTATGTCAAATGATTGTTGTGACTCAAAAGTTTTTAAGCCAATTTTATTTGTTTAATACTTATGTCGATGCGATAATCACAAATGATGATTCAATTCGCTCGGATTATCGCTTCAAAATATAATTGAAACAATAATTGCTCGCTCATTAATTTTAATGCATAGTTTACTCGCGATTTTTCATTTTTCTCCATTTTCCCACGAACACACACACACACACACACACACATTTAATGCTTTTATCGACGAGGCATGTCCTTCGTTATTAAGCTTAAGTGTGAAAATGTGATCGGAAGTCTATATTATATATCATATCCATTTCCAAAAGCCATATGAACTTATTTGCCCCTCCGTATATTGTTTGCATTTTAAGATAAATGGAAAAAGTTTGTCGTTCCACAAAGTAAAACTGTTTGGAAAATTTTCGTTGATGTGCAAGCAAATATTGACTTTCTTGTGTGTGTGTGTGTTTTTTTTGCTCCATATTTTGCTGAGAGAGTGTGAGACATTGTATAGCGCCAATTTGGCTTCGAAATTCATCAATGATGATGCAATCAGAACAAATGCTGTTAAATTGAATAATTTCAGTTGTGTGCAATAAAACGAACCGAGATGACCAACGACCATTCAAGGAATTTATGCGACGTTGTCCTTTTGTGCAGTACGACGACAAAAATAAAATCAATGGCAATTTGTTCCGAAAACCCAGTTTGTTATGCTGATTTGAATGCCCTTGTGGCTTATAATAATCAAGGCACAGATCAACATTTTCTTTCATTTTGCAACACATTGTGTCCACTTTGTGTGCAGCATACGGCCGACATACACAGTAGAACAATAGTTCCGAACTTGTCCGAACAGTTGACTCATGGCATTACATTCTCGCCCATTTTTTTTCTGCTGTCGAAATTGTACCCGGTGCCATTGTGGCCAATTTGAAAGGCATTTATCAAACCGTTTTGCGCTATTCGTATATCACGTCATACTATTTCCGACTGCAAAATGAACGTAGACAGTTTTCAAAAGCAGCACGATTATATAAATATTTATTATTCATATGGTGAAATGTACACATAAAGTCAGCTTCGACTGTAAAACAAACGGTGCATTTTTTGTTCGTTCTCTGCACTCAAATGGTTTTTTTCTTCCATTGAAATAGTTTTTCTCCGTTTTTGTAATGAACATTTTCTTTGCATTATTTCGACCATATACCATGTGTTGGTTCATAGGATTCCTGGAAAAACAACAACGTCGAATTGTGTCGGTGAAGTTTTGTTTTTGCCATCACTCTAGTGTTCTTTTTTCTCGTACGAATGTGCTCATTTCTCTTTATTAATTCGACAAAGATGCCGAGACCTCCTTTCACGAGGAAATTCACTCAATTATAAGGCATTCTAAATGGGAGCATACGCACCAATTCGCATTTCATCTATGGCATTCGTCGGTTGAATGAATGGGGGATAAAAATCCTTCGCAATTTTTTTTTTCAATGCTCAAGAGTGTATCACTAAATGTAGTGGAAAATAAGACTGAATAAGCTCTTCATATGAGTTATGTGAGTTTTTGCGGCTCTTATGGCTGCCTTGCGTTCACTCGCTAGTATATTATTGTACTCAAAAGTCTGTCTTAAATGTAGATATGCACTCCAGCCATAAATTAAGTTCAGATATAGGTAGAGAGTAGAAAAAAAAGGTAATTGTCTACTAGCTAACATACGTCAAACTGAAATACTCTCCTCTTTTTTCCGCTGTGAAATACTTGATCGGTTCGATGTCGCGTGTTTTGTGCCTCGCTTGTGCTGAAACTGTATGTTTCGGAATCCGAGGCGGCTGCAACAACAACCAATCCATATTTCATTCAGAGCACCAGTTTGGATAACCCTCTTTAGCAAAAATATTTTCAACAAACCCTCCGAAATTGTAACAAAGAACGACGACGCAGAAAAGAAACAGACGAAGAAACAATGGCCACATGATTCCTTCACGATACACTATAAGTCTTGAGCCACATACACACACACACCAATGGATGGTATGCGATGAATAAAAGTTTCGAAAACAAAGCAGCTCGATATATTGGGTGCTTACAATTGAAAAGGAGATGAAATAAATGTTCACTTAAATTAGGCTTATGTAAAATATGGAATCGAACGTTTCCCGCGGTTTATTGTTGCTGCCATAAATTTGATCCACGAACACATCCACTTACACTAACACACACACACACATACACGTGCTGCATTCAGTCAACGGTGAACGAAACAGATGGAAACAAAAAAAAACTGGAAAGCTGCACACATTTTCTTTTCCCGCCGAAAAATAGATACGGCGAAAACTTCTGCAACTGCTGTGTTCGTTACGCTCCATTTCCATCGTATTGCGTAGTCATCGTAATAATTCATGATGCGCACTGGTAAAAAGTAATTTGTTGCTCAGCATAAAGAATTGTTGCCTTAACTCTTAAATAGTTATGTATAGTGATTTTCTACTTTAAAATTAACTTTTTAAGAAACGGGCACAACTGTGTGTGTCTTGCAAGAAATCGAGTTTTATACTTTTCGCTTGTAGTGCTGCTCACTCCATGAGAGTCTTTTGCTTTGCAACAAAAAAAAAAACCATCGAAACCTACCTTGCAACTTTTCATATAGTGAAAAACTTCCCTACTAGCGTACATGGAATGCTCTCCTTGAAGTAGATTTACTTATAAGTAATTACTTTTTTGATCAACCAAATAATTAGCTCATACAAATAGAGTATACTTACTTGAAGTAGTTTGACTATCGATCCCTCTTGAAGATAGTTAACTTCCACTTGAAACCATCTAGCTAAACATAAATTTTATTAATTCGTTGAAAGTTTCCCCCGTAAAAATAAATGACTATCATTCTAGAAGAAATGAATAATGACGATAAATTTTGTTCATGTCCAAAATCTAGTTGCCAGTTCACCGGACAGCAAATCAAAGACAGAGAATCTCACAGGTGCAACAAGCAGTGAACACGAATTAAAAAGCCCATTCGATGAGAAGAGTGGCAACAGTGAACAAAGTCAAATATCATCTCCAGCGCCACAGCAACCATCATCGCCCACAATAAACGGATTGATATCAAGTGAGTATTTGGAAATGTATGGTTTTTTTTTCTGTCGTTCAATAGCTCCAGTGTTCCGTCGAACAATTCCATTTCCTTTCTGAAATCCAATTTCATATCATTCGTATGAAATTTTATCGTTCAATGAATTCCCATTTGCATTTTTTATCGCTGGAATTATCTTGGTTTTATGAAAATAAATATTATTCAATTCGGTGATTTCATTTTGATCAAGTATATCAGAATATGTAATGTTCGGTGCTGCAACGGTGAAAAGCCCCATGCAGAGTTTGCTAATAAATATAAATATCTGCATGTGCACATAGTGACTGTACGGATTGTTGTGACACGAGCAAAAATGATTGCACTCACGTACAGACATTACAGCTGAATGAATAGAGTTCTAAACTTCTACGTGTCGCTTGGTCGATATGAACGGCTGTGAATATTCGTTGGACTTCTTTCGATGCGTAGTTAAATTTAGAACTTGAAAAAGGTTGTACGAAAAAACGGGACAAGTGTTGTTTTAATCACGGCTTAAAAAACCCCGAATTTTTTTTTTTTTGATGTACCGTTTTTGTGTACCAACTTTTTCAAGAACCGTATTTCAGAAAGACGTAATAGAGTCCAACAAATATTCTCAGGCGTTCATATCTGTGACCATGAGTGGCATTAAAGTATCCGATAAAAATTTTCAAGCGGATATTAATATTCGTTAGCATACTCTGGCTTCATGTTCCCATATCCACCGCATATTGTGGTTAATAATAAAAATGACAAATATTAACCTCATCCACGAAATTAACTCAAATAACCGATTGCGATTCCGGTACATGGATGCGTAAATATGTACAAGTATATAACACCAATAGATTGGAATTGGTTCAAATTGAAATTAATAATTAATTTGAAATTGTTCAATTTCTCTCGCACTTGCTCTCCATTTGTGTTAAACTGCAGTGTATTCTAATTAAATTGAAATGTGTGCTCGTATTTGTCTTTTATTTGTTGTTGCAGTTCGAAGGTCTTCGACGAAGAAAAGTGATTATTTTACAAAGCGGTATTCGCAACCACAATTAGATACGGGTCTAGAATTTAGCTATCCAACAACAACGCCAGCAGCAGCAGCAACAATTCCAACAGCAGCAGCACCTCATCTACAATCACAAATTGCAAATTCCTTACAACAGATTCCATTGGACGTCAAGTGTGGCTTGGATAAAGCGGCATCGGCGGCCGGAAACAAGCATAAACCGTACTTGAATCGACGAAATCAACTCTATCGCTTTAGCTGTGACAATTGCCCAGACGATTACCACTCAAGCAGTGGCGATACAACGGTAGCGTTTGGTGATAAATGTAAATTTGCCGCTGCCAAAGGAGAAACATTCGCCTGGACTAAAATGCAAAGCGATTCGGTGTCATCGTCGTCGTCTGTGCTGGCACAAAATCGTTGCCTTACTGAACATGATGGTAGTGAACAAGCAGCTGTAGCTACGAATCCAGTTGACTTAACTACCGATAATTTACCAGCCGTCGATACACCTGATGCCTTATCACAGGCATCAGCGAGGTAAGACAATCGGCAACAGCAACGGAATGACTGAACGACTACCGACAACGACGTCGATTACGATTGCGACTACGACGGACGACCATAAGAATAGCACAAAAATAGAAATGAAGCAAACGAATTCCGAGAAAAATGTTATGCCATTCGATGTGGTAGTGTGGTGGCAGCGCCCCATTTTTTTTTCAAATAAAACCATGACATATGCTAAGAGGCTTTTTAAAAATTCTCTTGAGAAAAATGTGATTTATTTATTCTTAAGTGCATAAAGGGTCGTAATTTTGCAATGTATGTGTGTGTATATTGGTCGTTGCCACCGTAGTCGTCGTCGTCATCGTGGTCGTCGTCGTCGATTTTTCCCATTGTCGGAGATTCTTTTGCTTGCCAACGTTCTTCACTTGGCTCATTTATCAGCCCACCATTGTGTAAGCAATGACATATCAAGAGATAGATAGAGCACATTTACCCTCTGCCATATCATATCTACATTTTCTTGTGCTGTTCTTTTTCTCTCTGTATGCAGTAAAGAGAATTTTTGATGCTAGCACAAAAGAATTTTTCAATATTTTTCTTCCAATTTCTTTTTTCTTCTCGTTTCGGTCTCGTTCCTATTTACGGCTGTTTATCAATTTATCACACACTCATACACACACACACACACACACACCAATCAGGCTGCGTTGCATACTCAAGCTTTTACAGCGTTGCTCTGGCGATGTATCGGCGGAAATTCTGCAGAAGAATCTTCATTATGCGGCCCGTGTACTTGAAGCACTCTACATAGACGAAACAAAGTAAGTAAAAATCACATCGTCTGTCTGTCTACCGTTACGGCTTCTATTTATCTACGCGATAAATATATAACATATACAATATATACATGATTTGACTCTTTGTTTCACTCGTTATTTTCATAATAATTTTTCGGATCGTGTTGATCTCTCTCTCTCTCTCTCTCTCTCTCTCTCTCTCTCTCTCTCTCTCTCTTTTGCCCCCTTCCTCACTTATTAACATTTCTTCTCTCTCTTGACTCGTTTTATCTTGTCTCTTCGGCGCTTTGTTTCACTTCCAATATATATAAATTTGTTCTTATTCACAGCTTCAAATATTTAAACAGGCAGAGCATAGAATTTTAAATAAGATACTTTTACTTTTATACTTAAGAAGGCCGAAAACGGAAAAAGAGATATAGACACGTTATATTCATTAAATGCTAAAAGTTTCCATATATGTTGATGTTGCCCATCTTGTGTGTATATTTTGTGAAACACTCTCTCTCTCTCTCTCTCTCTCTTACTCACCCACCCACTCTCCCTCAGTGTCTCTCTTTCTATCTCCTCTGTCTTCACTGTGTGTTTAGCTGGTGCTGAGTTCTGTGTTTGCTACTCACTCTCTTCTTCTTCTCTTTCACTTGCTATCAAGCTTGGGCGCTTGGATTTATGTACTGTCAACATTTGGCGCGCGTTCTCAAGTGTTTCGACATTTTCCAGTTTTGCACCACTGATTGCTTTTCTAATTCCCTTCACACTTCTCCTCACTTTTTTTTGGTGTTGTTGTTGTTGTTGCTGTTCCTTCTTCCCATCGTGTGTCGTCTTCTGTTCTTACTTCGTCTGCATCATCTTTATCTTCTCTCGTTTCAATTAGAAGTGTTCAAATTATGTAGAATCGTTTTTCCCTCCATCGGAATTTCGAATTCACTTGAAGTCAACTTGAAGTCGTTTCGGCAGCCCCAGTCCCAGTCGACATTCTGTTTCCTTTATTGTGTATACGCTGTAAAGTCGTTCGTATTTTGTGTGAAATTTTACAGACAGTCTTCACGAAAATCATCTGACAGCTGACTCTAGTCTCTTGTTCACTCTAATAACCTAATAACAAAATAAACGAGAGACTTTGCGCCGCGTGAAATTGTAAGTGTGAAGACGGCTTTCGACTTCTTATAGGTGTGGGTGTATAATGTATATACTACGTGTTTGACTCTGGTTTCTTGCAAAAATCCACTTTTCGCAAACGAAAATGAGAAAACTCCGTGTGAAAATGAAAGTTTTTCCCTCAGTTTCAAAATGCCCATTTAACACGCACTCTCTCTCTCACTCTCACTCTCTCTCTCTCTCTCTCTCTCTCTCTCGACATAAACCTCCACTCTATCTTTCTTCTTTCAATCTCGTACATTATCTCAATCGCTTTACAGAACTTGCACATTTATTATCTCTCGACAATTGTTCGCATTAACTGACTGAGAGTACTATTTCGCTATTGTTTCCTCACAATATTTATATCGTTTGAAACTACTTTAAGTGGATCCTTCCCCTGGAATTGTGTACAGAACTATAAATCCGATGCGAACAAAGTAGAAAATAAACGAAAAAAAACCACATACACGCGCGCGCTTGCAAACTTGTTTCCCTTTAGTTATATGGTGGTGTATAAGTTTTAGTTACTTTTGTACAGGTCATACAATTGAATGAAAATCTAATTTTGGAAATTTACAAGAAAAAAATAAAATAGAATCCATTGTTATGACGGCAAAAGTAAATATACCTATTCTTAAGGAGGGAAAATGCACTCACATCTTCTATAAATAAACTTTAAGTGGAATGGCATTATGATGAAGACGATCAAGATGATGAAAATGAAAAATCTCTTACGCTCGGGTTTTCTCAAAGAATACAATTTATAAGCTCTTAACAATGAGATAACCTTATATAACCCATTTTCAATGGCAATCGTTGGGCGGACGCTTGTTATGACTTCAAAGTTTTGTGAACCGAAAATTATTAATATTTTTTGCACTGTGTTTGTGTGCCGTGCCGTTCATGCACTGGTGAATGTATTCTCGATGGGCATTGCGAGTGGGTTTGCATCAGCAACACTTTTCCAATTGCTACCGAGCAGGGGTCAAGGCTGAATGCAAACACAAGCAAAAAAGAAAGCCGCCGGTCTCAAATTGAAATCAGATAAACAAATTTCATATTTTTTGGTTTTGATTTTTGTTTTAGCTTTCGAAAATATGCATTAACCAATTTTCTTTTCGTCGAATTTCATTCAGATCAGTGAAAAATCAAAAGAAAATCAGCGACGAAAGTACGGCGCCTGATTTTGAATCGAATATTGAAATTGAAAACCGTGGTGAGTGTGCAAATGACGACGATCACGACGATGTTGATGAAAATGCAAGTGTAAAGAGTGGCAATGCTGACATGGATGTAGACATTAAAACCGACGATGTGCCTGAACAAAGCGTTAGTCCAAATAATCACGAACATAGTTTAGATGAAAACGATCACGAAACCGCCAATGCACACAATGACTTAACATCAAATGATGATACCATCACCGCCATCACCACCACCACCGCTACCGAATATGAAAGCCAAACATCCATTTCGATCAATTCATTTGGTGGCTCTGTATTTTTAGGAGAACAATGGCATCGACGTCTTCGTGCACCAGTTTGGGCCAGGTGTTCTATTAAACTACATTTTTCTCCCACACCCACACACCGACACACACACTCTCTCTCTCTCTCTTTCTATATTTTCTGAGTCTCAGTCTCTCTGCATTTCCATTCACACGCAGAATCAATATTTTTTTTTTGCAGAAATAATACAACAACAAAAATATACCGAACACATTAATTCGATTGATTCACATTGGATTTTCATAGATTTTGGCATTTTGTTTTTTGTTGCTAGCTTTTCGTTTTGTCTGATAAAAGCAAAAACAAATGGCACTTGGTTTTTGAGCAAACAATATGTTTTTTTTTCGTGTATTTTTTTCTGTTGGTTCGCATAACACATTTTGAATCCCGTTCACATGAAACGTTCGTCTCTAGTGCTTAGTACTTTTCCAATTAGTTGGATTTGCACATCAACAAATATCAGCAACATTGTGCCAAATGGAAAACACTCCACTATTGAAGCGATATATTAAACAATTCCGGCAGTCAATAGAGATGGGAGGAACAGAAAACAAAGAAATTCAATTGAAAATGGCACATCGATCCATTTGTAGAAGTCTAGAGCAAGCAAATAGTGTAGAAAATCGGTTGATTTAAAAGCAAATAAGCAAAATGCACACAGCGAAGCACGTATTCATTCAATGCACACATATATTCATTCATCCACCATATATACCATATTTTCCAGCTCTGGAAACCAGAAAATTTATTCATAACTACTATATACCGTCGCTTCACTCCCTTAATAGGTACCGTAAGCTTGATTGTATTGTTTTTTGTTCTCAGGCATTTATTTCATTTTTTTTTCTTCATTCCGGCTGGCCGACACATAGGCATATTTCATGAGATCAGAGCTAGTTCGGAATACACGTTTCTCTCTTGCTCAATCTCCTTCGTGGAAATATCGAGTCTCCGGCAAATGATAGCTCGGAACGAAAACATGTTTACCCATACTGACCATCCCATGAATATTTCAAATTTATATATATGTATTTCCTTCGATTGCGATGGCTGATTGTCCTTTCAATTTGATCGATGTATTTACATACATTTCGGCAAGCACCCGAGAAATATTCCGATTTCATTGCAACGCATAAAATGAAATGATGGGGTCCAAGACTGATTGTTCCTTTTATGCTTGTTTTCCGTGCTGACGTTAAATCAAAAGTAAATATTGCGCCATGTTTGATTGTTCCAATGTTGACTTTGCATTCAAATCAACAACGAGCGAGACGGGGAAAAAATGGAGAAAAATCGCTTCGAGTGATGGATTCCTGCTTTTATTCCGTAACTTTAAATGCTAAGAATAAATGCAAACATCAATTGTGATTGAAAAACATGCGCATGCACGATGATTCAGTGCCATATTTCATACAGTTTTCTGCCTCATCTGTCAAATGATTTAATCCAAGTTTTATACTTAATTCAAACCGTCATTTTTTTCTCCTTTTCTTGGTTGGTTCCTCTCTCTCTCTATCTCCATATGTCGCGCTCTGGTTCTCTTTCTCTATCGCTCCGTTGAAAAATATGGTTAAACTAACATTTGCATTGTGCGGCGCAGAAGGGGTAAAAAAAAGTTGACGTGGGTTTTATGCTCTTTACAAAATATATCCGCCGGAATTTCCGTCGAGAATATAAATGGAGAGATGAAAATGGATCCATTTCGAAATCAAACTATTTCCGCAACGAACGTGACATGAAACGCTAGGCAAACAGAATAAATTTAACTAGTCGTCGATCCAATTAATTTCTAATGCATGAGGCAAACTAGTTTGGATTTTCGTAAAACGCCATCCACTACGCTACCACTTCCCGCACAACAACCACTTTCTTGATGTGCATAGATTGTATATTTTTCGCTTGATTTAATATTCAGTGAACGACAAAGTGAATACAACAATGCGTGCTGTCGCAACAACGAATTTCCGAGAAAAGGGAATTCGTCCAGTTTTTCAAGCGCACATATTTCGTCCACCCTCCCTCCAAAGAAAAAGGGAGATCGAGAAAAAAAACATGTGGATGGACGAACGAACATAATTCCATGTTATTTCGTTTGCATTAAGGCCAAACATGTATAATTCGATTACCATGTTGATGTCATTTTATTTACCCAGCGCGTAAAAGTGCCATCGTTCAGCAGCCGAAAATTGTTTAACAACATCAAGCCGAGAATTGAATAATATGACAGAAGTAATACGAAAATGTTAAAATAAAAAGGAAACTATTGCTTTTTTATTGATTCGTAAATGTCAATTTGATTTCCGTTCGGGCAATCAATTTCACATTAGTGAAAGACGAGAAACGAAAACGAAAAAAAAAACACCAAACGCAAAAAGA